CGTACAATTCCATGATGTTAGACCTACATGTAACAAATCGAGTTAATTAAGTTAATTGAGTCAATTGCAACTAGAACAGTTAGTGTTTAAAATTAATACCATATTAGTAAAAATATCAATTGCCTAGACAAAATTTTCGAGGGGTAGTAACTTTCTAGCACACATTACATATTATTGTTGTTGTTGTTGTAAATAATGACAATATTACGTCACGCTCACAAATATAACATCGATATATTAGAATGCATAACTTTATAAAGCTACATACATAATTATTGACACTAAAGCCCTCACAAACACATTAACAATCGCTTTTGAATAGCAACAGGGGCGAAGCCCCCGCGTAATTTTGATCTAGTTATTAATCTAAATTTCATATTAAACTTCATTTAATACTGAAATATCGAGCCAACATTTTTATCTCCATTATAGTCATTGATTAGAAGATAAATTTATTTTCGAGTCACTTTATGATTGACTGAAGTGCTGATTCTCTTTTCCAATAACGCGTTAATTATTAATATTATTAGTCCTACGCGAAACTTTCCATTGATATCATGGACCGATAATAAGAATCATACGAATAGATTTATTTTTTTTTAATGGCTGCTAACTTCCCTCTTAGGATTGGCCAACAAATCATACGGAATGAAACAAACCAACAAAAGCTTTTTTTTCCCTACGAAGGAATTGAGTGTTGCTATAAAAATATAACCGAACACGGAAACATCTATACTATGTACAAAACTAAGACGAGTTTATGATAAGACCGAGTGACCAAAAAAATATATATAAAATACAACAAGTAGCAAGGACGTGCGCCCGAAAAGTTAGTTGATACATCACATCAATGCATCCTATTTATACAATATCCTCTCGCCTCTTTCCAGTGTTAACTCGACAAGCTATGGTTTAACAGAAACATATCTAAATCCTGCCATCCTCCTCCCACTCTCACCATCACCTTACTCCCGCCATTTGACGAATTTATCAATTTACACATTTGCACTTTTCTAGTCTGTCCAATTCTCTCGCTTCCAAAGTAATACTTGCCTCCTCCACCAGACACCCTCTCGACTTTAACTGATATTGGGGATCCATTGACTACCTTTCCTACCTCAACGTCCAATGGATCTGATTTGACAGGAATGTAGGGAGGAAGATCGCGTTGCATTAAGTGAAGTGTATCTGATAGTGGACTTCCAGAACTATCATCGTCGTCGTCATCGACTCCAAATTGATCGTCGCTAGCAATCGACGACGGTGTCTCTGATCTTCTTCTGTTCATATGAGGTGTAGGAGATATTGACAATCGTGTGAAAGCTGATGCCATCCCTGATGAAGTGGTAGCCGGTGTCGTTCTGCGAGGACGCATACTCATACTGGTTACTGGACGAGGTATACCTGTTGCCGGTCTTTCAGCAGGCGATATTGGACGCGTGGACATTGGACGAGCGGTCATTGGGCGAATAGGTGACTCGGGGCGACTAGTTGATTTTGAACGCAATTTGTTTGAAGTACGATCGTATCCAAGCTGAGGGGATAACGATCTGTGATATTGAGAAGATGAACCAGGAGAGTATGGAGAATACTTGTCAGATACATACGATTTATCGTATCTGTCTACGTATTTGTCAGGTGAGTAGTTATATTGCCAATTAGATCGATCAGTTGACTGTGGCGAGTCCGCTCGTCGCATCCCGTTAGGCGGATACAACGCTCTCCCATACGGACTTCCTGTTCGTGGTGATGGAGATTTAGATCTCAGTGAAGGAGATCTCGCATTGCTACCCGATGGCGATAATGATCTATCTCGATCAGGTCTTATGGATCGATAAGGTGATACCTTTGGAGGGGACCCTGACTCTGGAGAAAACATTCCTTTAATTGGACGTATTGATGGCGATATTGGAGGAGATGAAGCAAGAGATGAAGGTATAGAAGAAGGAGGAGAGTTACTACCAATAAAGGCAGTATCCATTATCGTTTCCAATTGAGGCATGTCCTGCTGCACGTCACGTACTCCCTCGAGTATGCTGCCCCAACGTGATTTCATAGCATTGTATTTCTGAATTATTTCCGCATCTCTTCGTGTGCGATTGTTGATTTCGCTGCCTAGCATAGTTAGCATTTTGTTTACAGCTGGCACATAGTACTTGCGCTTGGCATCGAACTGTTTGTATAATCTCTGGTAGTTCCTAGTAGTTATTGGTATTTGAGGCTGAATTGAATTCTGAGAATATGCAGATGAGCCATTATTGCTTCTCTGATTGTATCTAGAGTTATTGTTGGACACTCCTCGTCCACTTACCCTCGACGGCGAATCAGACCTGTTAATTGCTCTGCTGAAAAAGTCCTTACATTGCCTGACCGCTCTATCTAAACTGTCCATCATTTGGGTAGCTTGCCCTGTCACTTGTTTGAATAATCCTACCCATCGATCATCCTTTAACTCATCTCTTAATGACTCCATCTCCTGCTTCAATACATCCCATCTATTAGTCAATAAGTTGTGCTTTTTAGATAAACTCCCGTTTGGGTCAGATGGAGCATTTGGAGCACTAAGTCGCGATCTGAGATAGTCGATACGTGCAGAAAGTGGCTCCATACGTGAGTCTAACTGCATCAGAGCAATGTCCGACCTAGAGCTAAATTCATTATTTGATGGAGTCGCCGGAGTCATTGGTCTACTGGAAGATGATGGAGATGAAGAAAGTCGTGGAAACGGAAGGTCGTCCGATGAAGTGAATCCGGAGTGACGCTGTTCTTGATACTCAAAGATGTTAGTGTTGAGTTCTTCTATAGATGCGAGTATTTGATCCATGGTTTCTAAAAGTTCTCTTCTATGTTTAGATTCCGTCATTTCCTTCTTTATCTTTGTGAACGATTGCTTGGTCTCCAACCATTCATTCTGTATTCTTTCGATAGCCGACAGAATGTTGCTGGAGTCATACTTATTTGTATAATCTTTTTTATTATTACTATCGGTCTCGGAGTCTTCGCCCTCGTCTTTTATGCTTTCATCTACTTTTTGCCTGTCTAGTATGGGAACGGATAAATCTTTAAGTAATGCTATATTTTGTGTGAATTTTTGTATAAGAACGTCCACTTCACTGATACTCCTCACTGGGACTCCATCCCTTACAGTTTCTTCTAAGGTTAGTATTACTAGTTGAGCACATTCTAACCAATTATCGAATTCTTTTATTGCTTCTGAGAAAGTATCTAGCAAGTTGGAGAGAGAAAGGTCAGGTGTAGAAATTGCATGGTATATGTTTGCATTTGGTGTCGATAGCGAGTGAAGGGTCTGTACTTGGTGAGCAAGAGTGTTTAAGCCAGAATACTGCTCAGCAGGCGTGCGCTGTGAGGAGTGATGTGAGAGCGGTTCTGGCATATGGGACATTGAATGGAACGTGCTCACGAAAAAGTTGGGGAATAAATTGTTCTTGATGGGAAGGGTAAGTATGAGGATAAAGTCTATTGGTCAATATCGATGCGGGTTTTGATGACGTAATCGACAGCTGTCTGTATTGTTTGTAACGGCAGTAAAAGCAACATCGGATTGGTAGGATCAACCACCAAGTTTCTTATCGTTATGTCGTGTTACGGACAAATTCTGCGTTTCCGTATGAAAATGAGGCACTATCCAATCATCATCAAAAATAGACCAATTACAATAAAATTTGTAATTTTTGCTCGGGAAATTGTTCTTATGAGATAATATCTCGCAATAGCAATACAAAATTAGCAGATATTAATATTATATTGTAGCAGGTGTAAAGGAGACTTCGACAGTAATGCCTTGCCTTGTTATGATGATTGTAGTTGAGTTTTTTCTGATTAAGAAAGGTGAGTCAAATTTTATCAGTAACAGTAATAGTAATGGAGCTGATGATTCAAAGTTATAGAAAAGTTCGTTGGAAGCTAAAATGATGACATATGGGGCAGACTGCAACAAAACCAGACAAAGTGAACATTCTATTATGTGAGCCAAAGATTACTATGGTGGTCACGTAAAGACGGATCGTGAAGAACCTTTGTTCATAGCGAGGTGCTCACCAAGGCCCAGTTTAAGCTATTTTATCACATATTCTGTAAAAGAAGCCCATAAGGTCGGGATATTTGTAGACTTGGGGGAGTGTATCCCTGCCAAATTATAAGTGCAACGGCGATCATTCGAAATCTTCTTCACATCTCAAATCTAGTTTACGGAAATCCACATAATAAAAATCAATATAATTTACATCGTTCAATTCGCCAAGAAATGCTTTTTTTTATTATGCAATTAATATGGTGTGGTACCCCCTTTTGCATCCAACACAGCTTTAACTCTTCGAGGCGTACTATTTACTAAATTTATTGATCGCGTTACTATGTATCTGACTCCAGCGCAGCGAACAATTCTTTAGTTTTACTAACTCTCCTTTCTGATTCATCCCACAAATGTTCTATCGGATTAAGATGAGGACTCTGGGAAGGCCACTCAAGCGAATCAATTAATTTTGACTCTTTCCATTCAACTGTTGGCATTGTCATCTTGAAAATATAAATTTCTATGCCAAGCTCTTGTAGATACGGCAGCAACTATTCATCTAATATTTGTATATATTTAGCAGCATTGATATTCCCATCCACTAAAATCAGCGGCCCCATCCTGTCTTTACAGAAACATCACTTTTTAGGAAACCATCTTTACCATTTAAATTGAAAAAAATAATGTCATAATATTCTGGATGAGTTTTAGGTGGATTTACTTCAAGTTGATAATTTGTTAGCTTTCTCTGATATTAATCCCACTAATAATCCAATCGGTGCTTTCCCCACCAACAATAGTTAAATCTGCATTGAATTCATCACCCTCTTTATCTATATATTATGGTCATTCTGATTTCCAACTAGAAAAGGATTTGGTTCAGGTCGTTTACAGGGAAAGCATCATAAAGAGAATTCTCTTTCTCCTCTTCATCTTCTGGAGTAATAATATGTCGTTCGAGAGTACACTACCTAGACATCAGTTTGCGCGGTCAGTTTTTTTCGTTTTTTATTAAAATTGACGTAACAAAAATAATCAATTTTGGTATCAATTGAAAGCTCTGTTTCTCGCGTACGCGTCTTTGTTGTTGTTTACGCCATACAAGATAAAAACAATTCAAATTATAAATAAAAGTAACAGTACTAATAATTGTCCGATACTTGTAACGATACCAATAAGTATTTGATACTGTAACTTACGAACGATGGGTAAAATGCTGAACTTACTGTTGTCGAACGAGCACAAATGGTCGGATTATACAAAGGTGGTCATAAAAAGTCCGAAATTTGCAGAATTATGGACCGATCAGAATCTACAATTAGAACAATACTGATCCTCCCAGAAATTTTGTCAATTTAGAGGTGCAGTTAAAAGAAGAATAGGAGAAAATCCCGCGAAGAGTCTTCCTCAAATTAATTGATAGTATGCCTCACGAATAGAAGCATGTATTGCCAATAATGGTTGGCCAACAAGATATTAGTATTTTATGAAGCTAAGACAAAATAAAAGATGCTTAAAAAACCGCGCAAACTTATGTCTAGATAGTGTATGCGCCTGTTGAGTCTGTTCGTGTTGAAGATGAGGGTCAGTTGTTAGCGAAGGTAATATTTCCACTTCAGATAAAGATGGCGAGTACGGTGATTCATAAAGTGATTTAGACTGAATTAAAAATTGATATATTAGTTATTTTCAACCAATGAACTAGTGTACTAAAGTTGTGTCGTTACCTTTTTTGTGGGTGGTGTCGATGTCACATCATCCCTATCGTTTCGCTTTTCTTGTAATTCTTCGTCTACCTTATCACTGTGCTATAAAGACGCACAGACTTATTTCAATATTGATTTCAAAAACAGAGCAATAGTAACATGCAATGCCAATACAAATCATTGAATTCAAAAGAATCAACTAACCCTTTCTTGAACATCTTCGTCAGTACCCCGGTCAGATTCATCACCTGTGTATGTACCGTCTGTTTGCTGAGTATGATACTCCGAGAATTGATCTTCCGAGAAGGATATGTTAGCACAGCTGGTGCAGTGATATATGCGCGGTATGCCTTCGCTTGCGCAGTAACGTTCACCGTATCCTATAAAAAATTATATGAGCATCATTATGTAATATGTAACGTATTGTACCCATCAACATACTTTCAATACGTCTTTTAGTTCAGTTTTTCTTGCAACGTCACTTTAACGAAAAAATATCTTCTGCATTCGTTTTCTGTTGTCTTGCCCGTGCACGTCTGAAACGACAAATACCAGTATACATGTCATAAAAGTCTAGGAATTAATAATCACGTACCTCCAGCCATTCCAAATAGTGTTGCGCAAATGTTCGAACACAAAATGGAACAACAAGTAACACATGAATTTGATCCAAACTTTCAGCAAACACTTTGAAGAGCTGTTCAAAATTCAGCCCAGGCACTTAGTGACCACTGTGAGGCAGAGACACTCTTAAAAAATTCGTAAACGCAACGTACATTCTTGTCTATCTGATGCTTGAAGAATTTGGTTGCTTCTAGTCGTGGTTCTCTGACATGGCAGTGTCAAGGATGAAAACGCGTCAGTACTAGGAAAACGGAAACCGTCACGTTTTAATGTTGTACGAACTTTTGATTTTTATGGCCACAATGATAATCAGACGATCTCAAAAATCACGTCATTGTTACACAATGGCTACTCCCTTTATTATTATTATTATGTGAATGTATGTGAAGAGGGTAACTGAAGAGGGTAACTAAATGGTAGAGAAAAGTAAAAAAGGGAAGGGGGAGATTCGGTGTTTCTTTCTATTTCTGGTTTCTCAGTGTGAGGATGAATGAGGTGGTATCAAGGTTAATCGAATAGTAAAGAAAATGAGTCTAATGACATAAAAGTAAGCAAGTAGGTTAAGTAAAAATAGTGAGAGAATGAGGGTGAGTGAATTAGGAAGAGATGAAGACACAGTAGAGGATATAGACGAGTTTATCATGGTACAGTCGCACCTCTATAAAAGAACATCAAAGACGCAATTATTATTAAACTTATAAAAAAAACCTCTACAGAAGAACACCTCTTCATAAGAACATTTTTTTCAAAAATCACTATGGTCCCAACTTGGTTATTAAATAGAGGTGCGACTGTATATTGATTTGTGCATTACTGATTGATTCTTAAATATACTCAGACTGTATTAAGTAAATTTTATTAGACAAACACACAATGGTTTGTACAAATAAACTTAAACATATCGTCGTTTTCGCTTAATTCGCATAATTAGATCGACGTCATCGTCACTGTTGTCATCATTATTGTCGTCGTTATCGATGTTTTCTACATCGATGTCATTATCCTCATTGTACAAGGTCAACCCCGATAATCTGAAGACGTCGGTTCGTATTATCGGGTTTTCGAATTGGCGGGTTTATTCTATAAACCGAAGGTTATTGGGGAGAACATATGTGCGGATAAACGGGGTAGCTAATTTTAGATTGAACCTTGGATAAGAAGATTGATTTATGTGTATTTTTTTTTACATTGATTTTGAAAATTGCGAGTAATTTTTATACGGGTCAATATTCGGTTTACAAAGGTCATTGATATTATTGGTTTAAATAAATTATTACCTCATTTAATTCGAATTATCGGGTAAATTTGATATGCCCGTTTCAGAAAAATCTTCGGTTTACAGAGTATGAAGGTTTAATAGTAATTCGGTTTGTCGGGGTAATTTAAATAGGCTAAAATGTGGAATTCAAAAAAAGTTCATTCTAACGGGGTTTTCGGATTAACGGGTTGCAGATTATCGGGGTTGACCTTGTAGATGGTGGTGTCAGGTATTAGTATGTCATAAAGACCATGCATTTTCCATCCAAATAACGCCTTAATGCGGCATACGAGGATGGGCACTATGTACTGTTGAATTGTACGTCCTACAAAATAATTGCTTTTCAAAGAACATGATTCAAAATATAAGAACGCCCATTAAGAAATGACGTTTAGAAGTTGACGAACGTTATCTGTAGTCTGAGATATAATTGTTCAAAGTTCGACTGGTTGATTTACAGTCAACCATAATAATAAATGCGCGCGTCTAACGTCCGGTTTACATTTATGCACTATTACTATTATACTAATTAGTCGAATAACCATCCATGCCATGTACAGTCGCACCTGTCTATGCATAACGTATATTAATATTTGCATATCTGTCCATTTGCATAAAGGAGGGTCTCTTAGTGGACCTATTAGCTATTTGCATAACGGGAACGTACATATGCATCAAAGCTGGCATTTAACTCTAGTAAGTCCCACCAACGTATATTTGCATATGCAGATGATTTACATTTTAATATTATTGTGGCTTGGGCTTTTCACCAAGTGTTCACACCATTTTATTAATTTTTTTGGGGGTCATTCTTTGATTATTTTGCTTTCTTAAATAGATTTGGTAGCGTTGTCGATTGCTTAACGCAGTGTTCTTAATAATGATAAAATATTGTACAAGAGGACCTAATAATAACGATATATATAATTTTGGTTTTTGATACACCAGGAGTTCCGTTTCGGTTTCTTTTTTTGATACATTTGCGAAAAGTCACGTTTTCGACAATTCCCAAAAAATTATTCGATGTACTATACTACACGGTCACCCTCGACAAGATGAAGTCATCGGGCTGGACCAAAATGTTCATATTATTGAAAGATCATAACAACGAGAGGTCTTGTTATATTATAGCTGACTTGATTCCGGGAAAAAGCATCATATTACGCTAACTTTATCTTATCGAAGGCATCTCACTGTATGTGAACGTCATAACCATATTAATATATGCACATAATGATTATATTAACATGTGAACGTAATGATTACCGTAGAGCACTGAATATAAGTACCCCGGGTACATATCTAGAACACCTCAAGTTTTTGAATTGTACCCGGGAGAT